AACTTCCCGAGTCGAAAAGAATCACTGCAGGGCAATGTTTAACAGACCCGAAGACCTTCATAGTTTGAATATTATCAAGAGCAGATACACCATACAAAGCACAAGCAGTAATATGAGCATTTGATAATTCATCACCTTTATCTAACACAAGATCAATATCAAGAATCTCTTCAGATCTATCAGACAAATCAAGTAGTAAAAGTTGCTGATTTTGACATGCCATCTAAACCATTTGACAGAACAATAATCGCAAAGACCCTTTTTTCCAGCGTTCCCTACTTTCCTCAAATGTCATCTTCTTAACATTGTTCTGATTGGGAAAATTAAAAAAAGAATTAGGGTTACCTGGATCTGTAAGACCTGGTGTAGCTTTACTGCCCATCGAATTATGCCAAGAGAAATTTGGGGTCTTAGAGAAAGATCGGACCTTGGAATCAGCAAGTTTGGCATCAAGTTGTAAGGCAATAGCCTACGCCTCATAAACATCTAATGGTCGCAGAAGCTTGACATCGTAACGGAGCTCTGATTTCAATCCTCCAATGAAACAACTTTTAAGCATCGACGGAGCAATCTCATGGGTTCGATTGGCCAAACGCTGGAACTCTGCAATGTAATCTCTAACCAACTCAGTTTGTCGCAATTGAATCAAAGCTTTAGAGAAGTCCTCAAACTCCGAAGGCCCAAACTCACGACAAAAAACTTAACAAAATCAGGCCAGTGAGGAAAGTTCTTGAGACAATTCTGCCATTGAAACCATTGAAGGGTTTCTCGATCAAAATGAAAAGATGCCAGTTGAACCTTGTGATCGTTGACGACTGTAGACATCAAAATTTCGGTGAAATGAATGTTGACCAATAATTAAAATTTCAACGTTCACGTGTCACATAAATTTTACATGTAGCGTGTGATTCAACGAAAAATCGAAATAAATTGGAAAAGTCATCAAATATGACACGTGTCAATACCTGGCAGAAATGATTTATCTCATCTGATTATTTAAATCCAAAAATCAAGTTTTGGAATTCTATAAATAGGAGGCCAAGGCATTCATTTTGGGGGGAAGGAAGAAAGAAGAAAGAAGGAAGAAAGAAGGAAGAAAGGAAGAAGCCTTGAAACTCTAAAGCTCTCAAGCAAATCCCGAAGGATCAAGAAAGCACTCTTCGTTCTTCGTCAAATCCACCTTCAAGATCAAGCCCCGACGGCCCTTGAAGAACTTCCACCAACTCAAGATCAAGCCCCGACGGCCCTTGAGGAAAGTGTTCATCGCTCATCATCCGTTCATCCTAAGATCAAGCCCCAATGACCCCTTTGGATCAACAACCTCAACAAACTCATACACCCATTCTTCAAGATCAAGCCCAACGCCCCTTGAAGATCCATTCATCAACTGTTCATCCTTAGATCAAGCCCCGACGGCCTTTTGGATCAACAACTCATCCACAAACCCACACCCTACGAAGATAGAATCAGAGGACCAAATTACAAAGAGATTGTAACCCCAAAATCATTAATACAAAAAAATATATTTTGTACACGTATTCTTGTCGCTTGTTTCAGGAATTTCTCGTGTTTACAAATTTGGCACGCCCAGTGGGACAATCTCTACCTCTCATCTCTATCCTCAAATCATCGAAAAAACGCAAATGGCATCAAGAAATGATCAAGTTGTTCCTGCAATCAAAGCAAAGAACAAGAACATCATCACCGCAAGTGGTGATATTTCGGGCATCATAACCCGAAGTAGGGCAAGAGATCTTTTTGCCGCGGCTTCCGCCCCTGCATTAACTCTGTCAAATGAACAAGAGCACCTGAGGTACGAGCCTGTGATCACCCTAGCCTCGCTAAGGGCATCAAAAGGGGAGAGCCCGAGGAAATACTCAGAGTCCCTACTCTCCGACGCTGATTTGAGCGGCAGTACAACCATGCAAGTCATGACCACCGGAGCAACTTCAAGCGAGGAGCAGCTAGCTCAGATGAATGAAGCAATTGCAAAGCTCACACGGACTGTGGAAGAGAAGGACTTGCAGATTGCCGCACTCGTCAACCAACTAGATGCGCAGCTCGACGTGAAAGTCGACCCAAATGTTGGCCCATTAAAGAAAGAAGAAGAGGAGCCACCAGAGGAGGAAGATGAAGAGCAGCCGAAGCTAGACCAAGCAACGGCATCCATGTGATCTCTCTCTATCCAGCAGCTACAGGAGATGATCGCAAGCACTATCAAGACACAGTACGAAGGAAGCTCGCATGACTCCATACTGTACTCAAAGCCTTACTCCAAGAAGATTGATGCTTTGAAGATGCCAAGGGGTTATCAGCCCCCAAAATTCATGCAGTTCGATGGAAAAGGCAACCCGAAGCAACATGTCGCCCATTTCATTGAAACTTGCAACAATGCTGGGACAGAGGGAGACTACCTCGTTAAACAGTTCGTGCGTTCACTGAAAAGTAACGCTTTTGACTGGTACACTGACCTCGAACCTGAGTCTATCAACAGTTGGGACCAGCTAGAAAGGGAATTCCTCAACCGTTTCTACAGCACTCGTCGTACTGTAAGCATGCTAGAGCTGACCAGCACGAAACAGTGGAAAGATGAACCTGTCGTCGACTACATAAATAGATGGCGTTCTTTAAGTCTGGATTGCAAAGATCGTCTTTCTGAAACCTCTGCCATTGAGATGTGCGTTCAAGGCATGCAGTGGGGACTACACTACATCCTTCAAGGCATCAAACCACGAACATTTGAGGAGTTAGCCACCCGCGCCCATGATATGGAGTTAAGCATCAACCGTCATGGGAAGAAAGAACAGATCGCCGACTACAAGAATGACAAAGTTTTGGGGCCAAAGGTGGATAAGGCTACGTGGAAACCCACCAAGGAAGCAATGACGGTCAACACAACTCCAGTCAAAATCCCTACACGAAGTAAGGCGATTCAAACCGAAGCTTTTCGTGATCAGGAGATACGTAGACGCACTTTGAAGGAGCTTGAGGAGAAGACTTATCCATTCCCCGACTCTGACGTGGTTGCCATGTTGAAAGACTTGCTTGACAAAAAGGTGATCGACCTCCCTGAGTGCAAACGGCCAGAAGATATGAACCGTACTGACAGTCCAAGGTACTGTAAATTCCACCGCTTCATTAGTCATCCGACAGAAAAGTGCTTTGTGCTAAAAGATCTCATCATGAAGTTGGCTCAGAAAGGGATCATCGAGCTAGATCTTAATGATGTGGTGAAGTCAAACTATACCACCGTCACTTCTGGCTCTTTGAACTCAAAATCTTCACCTCAACCGCTGGGGGCATGCTTCAAAACCATGTCAGTCAAGTCAAGTGAAGTTGAAGGGTGGACTTATGTCACTCCAAAGAAAATGCACAAGAAACATAGGTCTCCTCCACAAGTTCACCAATCGGAAAGGGGGCAAAGCAGCTACCGTCAACCTTCAAAGCTACATGAAAGTGTTGAGGATGATGAAGTTATGACACAAAGATCGTCCGTTGCCATCACGATGCGCGATTTCTTCCCCAAAGACTTCTTCAATCACTCAGTCAAGACTCTTTGCTATGAAGATTGCAAGGAATGCCCCTCTAAGATTGTTTGACAAATTTAAAAAGCTCCTCGTTTGCACGAGCCTAAAAGGCGACAACCAAAGCTCCTTGTCCGCACGAGCATAAAAGGCGACAACAAACGCTCCTTGCCTGCATGAGCTGAAAATGCAAACGGCACCAAGATGCTCCTGGCCCGCAAGAGCATAAACTGTGTACGGCAAAATCATCATCAAAACCATCACCCATTTGAACTATGTTATGACTTGATCTCTTCTTTGGAAGAGTACGTAGGCAACTTGAAACTTCAAAACTTCAAGTACAGTCACATAAAAATAAATAAATAAATGTTTCATTAAAGAAAGTCAATTTTATTACAAAAGAAAAGAAAAAAAAATACATATGTTACTATGTATTAGAAAAAATATATATATTCTCTACTCAAAAAAAAAAAAAAAAATATATATATATATATATATACAAATTCCTTCTCGGCCCAAATAACATATACAGTAGCAGCCCCAGGCTTAGCAGATGGACCTCAAGGCCCTAGACAAAACGGACAGTGCAGATCCTCGTTGAAGCCCAAATCCGGGCCCAGGCACAGCTCTCAATCTCTTTCTCTTTCTCAGATCTTTGTGGCGGCTCTTCTTCAAGATTGGATCAGCCTCTCTCTTCTCTCTCTCCCTCGGACTGTCAGACGAGTGAGAATGGAAGGCAAATCGTACCAGAGGCTCCCGCGACATCTACTGCGCTAATCTCAAGAGCTGCTTCTTCTCTCACCCCCCACGACTCCCCCACACCTGGGCCGCCTTCATCTGGCTTTGTGGCCCCATCTCTGGTTTGCTCGTCCAACCCATCGTCGGCTATCACAGCGACCGCTCCCTCGGCGCCCGCATGAACTCCTCTGCCGCCGCCAGCTATGCCTCTGCGCTAGCCGACGTGGCGAACTCGAACAACACCCTTGAAACCACCAGCGGCGACGTGAAAAAAAATCGAGAAGTTCTTCGGCAAGCCGTCGGTGTTCGACTTCTTCATCAACCCGACCATCGGCCTGGAGAAGAAGTGGCAGGTGCTGGACGACATCGCCAAGTCGTCGGCGCTGCAGCCGCACACGATCAACTTCATCAACATCCTGGTGGACGCGAAGCGGATCGACCTGATAAAGGACATCGTGAAGGGGTTCGAGGTGGTGTACAACAAGATAACGGACACGGAGCTGGCGATCGTGAGCTCGGTGGTGAAGCTGGAGTCGCAGCACTTGGTGCAGATAGCGAAACAGGTGCAGAAGTTGACGGGGGCGAAGAACGTGAGGATCAAGACGGAGATTGATCCGAGCCGGGTGAAGGGGTTCGCGGTGAGGAGCACCAGATCCCTACTGCTCAGCCGATCGGCGACTACGACATCGTGATCGATGCGCTGCCTTCTGGAACCATCAACAACCCCCAATTTCCGCCATGGACAGACCGAGGAAGCTCAACCACCGGCGGAACCTCAACCGCAGCTGGGAGGACATGGAACAGAACTGTTTGGCTCAAGTGTTCATCCGAGTCGGACTGGAGTCGCTCCTCCTTTTCATCCCGTTCGTGTGCAAATCCTGGTACCGCATCATCATCTCCACCACCTCCGATCAAATTTGATCCGCCAAAAAAGCCCAAGAGGAACAAGTATGCGCTCGCTTGTGCTATTATGGCCTCCATGACTTCAATCCTGATGGGTTATGATATTGGAGTGATGAGCGGAGCTTCACTCTACATCGAAAAGGACCTCAAGGTCACGGACACACAAATCGAGATCCTGTTGGGTATTCTGGAAAGTCACTCTTTCAACTCCAAGCTGAGCGGATTTTGTGTGTCCAAAGACTAGCTGCTCAAGCTACAAATGAGGGTAACGCTGCTTCACTGCAAATACATTGGTATATCATGACCAGCCCATTTACTGATGAATCCACACGGAAATTTTTTGAAAGTCATAAATACTTTGGTCTCGACACTGACCAGATAACCTTCTTTCAGCAAGGAACCATACTTTGTGTTTCAAAGGATGGCAGATTTATCATGGAAACTCCGTATAGAGTAGCTAAGGCTCCAGATGGGAATGGAGGAGTATATTCAGCTTTAAAGTCATCAAGATTATTAGAAGATATGGCTACAAGAGGAATTAAATACGTGGATTGCTATGGAGTTGACAATGCACTGGTTCGTGTAGCTGATCCAACGTTCTTAGGATATTTCATTGATAAAGGTGTTTCAGCTGCTGCAAAAGTTGTCCGTAAGGCATACCCACAAGAAAAGGTTGGTGTGTTTGTACGTCGAGGAAAAGGAGGATCTCTTACTGTGGTTGAATACAGTGAGATGGACTCATCTCTGGCATCCGCAATCAATCAAGAAACTGGACGTCTTCGTTTTTGTTGGAGTAATGTGTGTTTGCACATGTTCACCCTGTGAATTTCCAATCAAATCCAAGAGCTCTGCTCCCCTTTTTCTGCAACAAAAGAACATGAAGTCAGTAAGAGAGGTTAAGAGAAAGTGACGGAACACGACAAGGCACTTCTTCCTCTCCATCCATGCAGCTCCTCGCCTGTAAGGACCTCGAGCTCGTCATTCTGGCCACCTTGATCAAAATCAACGAAGAGCTTCATTGACCGCTGTCAAACGACTAGCCGGTCTTCAAACTCGACGCTTTGCACTACTTCAAGCTCTGGTTGCTTCTGCATCTCCGCCATGGCTGCTGCCTTTGAATGTGATCAACAAAATCAAAGTTTGTCAACTCACACCCAAAGATCTCATCCGTCTGCTTGCCTCTGCTGCTGCCTTTGAATGTGATTGACAAAATCAAAGTTTGTCAACTCACACCCAAAGATCTCTTCCGTCTTCTCTCGGACTCGCCTGGGTTTTCACCCACGAACTCAGCCTTGCAGATGGCCATATAAGGGAAAAAATAATAATGATGCGGGGAAGCATCTTTCAAAAGAATAATAAAGAAAAAAACAATGATGATGCTTCTGGCACCATCTGAAATATATATATATATATATATATATATATATAATTATAAAAGCTTCAGGCGTGAAGGCAAAAGAAAAAAAAAAGGTGGCAATGATGATGTTGGGAAACATCTTTCAAAAAGAATAATAATAAAAAAAAAGATAGCAATGATGATATTGGGAAGCATCTTTCAAAGGCAGCATCAGCTGCCAATTGTTTAAATTAGCAAAATTGGAAGATGCAAGGCATTGAGCAAAATGCAGTGGCCATGCAGTGGCCTATATGCGTGTGTGTGTACAAGTTTTGGAATTAAAAGTAAAGAAAGTAATGAAGGTCATCATTCATGTGTGGACATATTTGTTATATACAAGTTGTAATTTTGTAGAGTTTGAAACTCACACGGTGCCAGGCACACCGAGAGCAATTACAAGTGCGAAAAAAAAATGTATCTAACAAAGAAAGAGGAAGATGGAGCCTTCACAAAGGTCGTTCACGTGAAGCCCCACTACTTGGCCAAACTCCAGGAGCGGGAAGCAACGAAGATAAATCATTCGAGGCCCCAATACTTGGTGGAACGCTTGATGACGCCGGAAAAATGTGCCTCTGGAAGAAAGACGCAAGCCTTTGACGGTCACTTTGAATGCGACCTTGAGATTCTTGCATCTCATCAAGCTTCCTCTTCATGCCCGACGAATAGTTATTTGCAAGCACATGCAAACTTCTATTCTCGTACTTAAGCTGTTTAATCTCCTGCTTAAGATTTTCCACCTCTGCCATCAATGATTCCACCTGACGGGACCGAGCAAGCAGGCGTTGGCCCATGTTGGACACAGAGCCCGTACACTGAACACTAAGAGCGAGGGACTCTTGAACGGCCAACTCATCGGACCGTCTTGAAAGCAGCCTACTATCTTTTGGTGTGAGGAGGTTCCTAGCTACTATTGTAGCTGTTGTTGCATCCTGCATCACTGAGTCTTCACATGTAAGAGGACCGTTAGGAGATAAGAAAGACGGGCACCATACATTACCTTGACGCGGCGCAACCGGATCACTGCTGAGACTCAATTCTAAGCTAAGGTTCGATGGGTTAGCCATTTTTCAAAGGTGTTAAAAGAGATGGGTGGATGGAGTTAAAACTCAAAAGGCCGGAGATGATTTTCAGGAATGAGCAACCTTCAAAGTGTGCATGTTAGAGGTGATCAATACCTCTATAAAAAGGAAGAGGCGCTTGCTCAGAAATCAAAGAGGCGTTGGTTCAGAAATCGAAGGGCCGCTTATTCAAAAGTGAAGAGACATCGCTCTGCAAATCTCAAAAGCTGGATTTTCCGGCGTAAGTTAGGCGACGCTTTCTCGGCTTTTCAGAAAACGCGTTCAACTTTGTCAAAAGATCTCCGACAAAGTTGAAAACACGTGGAGGTTGGCGACGCTTTCTCGGCTTTTCAGAGCACGGATGCCACTTTGTAAAAAGATCACGTGGAGGTCATCATCGCAGCTACACATCTTTAGCCGACAAGCGCAAAGTTCGGCGACGCTTTCTCTGCTTTCAGAAAACGCGTGCAGTTTTGTCAAAAGAGGCGCTCGTTTAGAAATCGAAGAGGCGTCGTTCAAAAATCAAAGAGGCGTATTCAAAGATCGAAGAGTCGTCACTATTTCAAAAAGCCGGATTTGCGGGATCAAAACGTTTGTCGACAAGGGTAAAAGAACAGTACCACCACTTGCTATTGGGAAATCCCTATATATATTTCGACCTTCATCTTTTATGGCAAGGCAGACCTGCAAACAGAAAAAAAAAAATGCCTGACTCTTCATCACCTCTGAGAGTACACTCCCAGCAAAGCATCTCAAAATGCTCAGTTTTCTTCCTCTCCGGGAATACCCTTGCAAACAAATGACACCAAGGCAAAAGTATCTCATATCATCAAGGGCGAAAGCAAAGGTATCTCATATCATGCTTTTCCCTGTCTTTTCCTTTACCCTTGCTCTTACCTGCAGGACAAGGGGAAATAGAGTTATCAGTCGGAACCTGAAATCAAACTTCCGACCTGGAACTAATTGCCTGGAACCTTTGCCTGGTTGCTTACCTTGCATTGCTCTCGAGTACTCATCGTCGCTGAGAAGTAATGTTTTGAAGCACCATTTAAATGCAAAGGTTGCATTCCACTCCTGCATCAGAGGACAAATACTACACGAGAAGATGCCAAACCTGCATAAGGAAATACCACTTCTGCAAAGGGAGCAAGTAAGGCAAGTGAAAATGATACATCAAAGCATGTGGAGACAAACACAACAAATATATATGCTGATTCATTCGCTGCTTCTTCAAAAGCAAAGGTATCTCATATCATGCTTTCTCCATGCCCTTTCCTTTGTCCTTGTTCTTACTTGCATAGCAAAGTGAAAAGAGCAATCAGCCGGCACTTGGAGTCAGTCTTCCGATCTACCCTCTTCAATACGAATTGGAAAGATTGAACAAAGAAACAGGTCATCACTTCCACCTCGTGCTTGCCTGCCATGTGTCTGAATCTTGCTACCTAGTTCAAGAGTAGCACAAAGGAAAATCAACGATAGGGGGAGACCAAAAGAATCCTCCAGCCTAGTTCAAGATCAATCCTCGATGGCCCTTGAAGAAATCACAAGTCCGATTCAAAATCAAGTGTTCACCACCCTTGAATCAAATTCAACTCCAGATCAAAGGAGTAAGTTCAGACCTTCGGAGGAGACCAAAAGAATCATCCAGCTCAGTTCAAGAGTAAGCCTGCGGAAAATCAACGATTGGAGGAAACCAGAAAATCTTCCAGTCGAACTCAAGATCAAGCCTCAATGGCCCTTGAAGAAATTTCCAGCCCAATTCAAGATCAAGCCTCGACGGCCCTTGGGTTGACATCTACATTAAGGGACTTCAAAACGCATCTTCTACACGTGAAAAGCACATGCCTACGACGCGCCTTGAAGTGGGGGCATTTGTAGACATCAAAATTTCGGTGAAATGAATGTTGACCAATAATTAAAATTTCAACGTTCACGTGTCACATAAATTTTACATGTAGCGTGTGATTCAACGAAAAATCGAAATAAATTGGAAAAGTCATCAAATATGACACGTGTCAATACCTGGCAGAAATGATTTATTTCATCTGATTATTTAAATCCAAAAATTAAGTTTTGGAATTCTATAAATAGGAGGCCAAGGCATTCATTTTGGGGGGAAGGAAGAAAGAAGAAAGAAGGAAGAAAGAAGAAAGAAGGAAGAAAGAAGGAAGAAAGGAAGAAGCCTTGAAACTCTAAAGCTCTCAAGCAAATCCCGAAGGATCAAGAAAGCACTCTTCGTTCTTCGTCAAATCCACCTTCAAGATCAAGCCCCGACGGCCCTTGAAGAACTTCCACCAACTCAAGATCAAGCCCCGACGGCCCTTGAGGAAAGTGTTCATCGTTCATCATCCGTCCACCTTCAAGATCAAGCCCCGACGGCCCTTGAAGAACTTCCACCAACTCAAGATCAAGCCCCGACGGCCCTTGAGGAAAGTGTTCATCATTCATCATCCGTTCAATTCAAGATCAAGCCCCGACGGCCCTTGAAGAACTTCCACCAACTCAAGATCAAGCCCCGACGGGCCTTGAGGAAAGTGTTCATCGCTCATCATCCGTTCATCCTAAGATCAAGCCCCAACGGCCCCTTTGGATCAACAACCTCAACAAACTCATACACCCATTCTTCAAGATCAAGCTCAACGCCCCTTGAAGATCCATTCATCAACTGTTCATCCTTAGATCAAGCCCCGACGGCCCTTTGGATCAACAACTCATCCACAAACCCACACCCTACGAAGATAGAATCAGAGGACCAAATTACAAAGAGATTGTAACCCCAAAATCATTAATACAAAAAAATATATTTTGTACACGTATTCTTGTCGCTTGTTTCAGGAATTTCTCGTGTTTACAACGACCAATAAATATTCAAAGAAATGTTCCGCCTTATACACCCAAGCTAAGGGATCATCACCTTCAACAAATCTTGGAAAGTCAAGCTTGATCGGTGGTTGACGAAATTAAAATTCATAATCTTGATGATGGAATCGAGGATCTTGACGCTAGAATTGCAGATTTGGATCAAGATTCTGATCGTTGAAGGTTTTTTCTGAATCTATGGGATTCCCCCCCAATTTCGACGGACCCACACAATTGGCGCGGCCTTGCTCTTCCATGGGAACAGAACGAAATTCCACCAACGAGAGACGTGTATTGATCAACGCTATGAATTTGGTCATTTGGGTTGCAAGGTTCTGAACCAATTCTTTGATTTTGGAATTTGAAGCTTCAAGGGCGGTGACGTGAGCATCCATCTTTGTGGCGCGAGTGGTTGCTCTCGGCATACGCAAGGGAAATGTGGGATAGTAGAATTGGCTGATACCAAAAATAAGAACCTTGTTCTAACCTTCAATGCATGACACACATAAGTCTATTGTATTATTGTTCACAATATACTTTTCTCATCATAACCTGCCTTGCACACTTAGTCTGCTATATATATTCCTTTCAGACTTGCAAGCTAAGTTTCCATCACAATAACCACCCAACTAACCATCTAATCCAATGACAAATGTCAAACATCTAATAAAAGTTCCCTGAACTAACAGAACATACACATACCACTTAATTTGGCTAACCCTTCTTAGTACTCTAACATAGACTGGTTAGCTGTTAATATCGTTCTTCATTCATTTGAAATGACAT